CCAAGTTTTCATATGATGTGCTGGTGTCCCAGAACTTCTTTCAGCATTCCACTTTTCCATTTCATCAATCTATTTTTTTTAATAACCATAATATGTATGTTCAAGGCATACTGTTACGCTGAGGAAACTTTGTTCTCTGTTTACTAGAAACAAACAGTCCCATGAAATAAGCGTTTACTGTGAAGAACAGTGTTTGGAGTGAACGGGAAAGTTGAATGAGTGCAAACCCTAACAAAGCTGTTCTTTTACCCAAAGTGAATATTCCATGTTTCAAGCTAAACTCATTCAGTGCATTAGGATATTGGAAAAAAATCCACCAAACTGAAAAATATGCTTTTGAGTCAAAAGCAAACCCCAACATACAATTAAAAAAGTGTACTTTTGTATGGCTGTTTTGTGACCATAAAAATGGTGCCACAAAAGCACTCCAGGTTTTGATTCTGAAAATATGGTCAATTTATATCATTATAATTGTTTTAAAATTATAGAGTGAAGCTTCTCTTTTAAGTATATCCCTTTAAAATGCCAATGTGAAACATTATATGAACCCCAGTCTGAAAGTAAAGGAGTACTTGTGGCACCTTAGAGACTAACCAATTTATTTGAGCATGAGCTTTCGCTGTAGCTCACGAAAGCTCATGCTCAAATAAATTGGTTAGTCTCTAAGGTGCCACAAGTACTCCTTTTCTTTTTGCGAATACAGACTAACACGGCTGTTACTCTGAAACCTGTCAGTATGAAAGTAGATACTGTCTGTGACTCATATTTGAGTTTTCATACTGCACCCATCGCTATGGTTTTCTGGAATGAGAGAGAGTACGTTCTCTATACCCATTCAGTACAGGACACATCTCTTCTGAGAATACTCCCAAATGGTGCCAATTAATTGTGATGAGGTTTTTTTGTGATATAAGATCCACATCCACTAGCTTTTGAACTGAGATCAACTCATTTCATGTAGGTCTTTGATCAATCATTAGACAACAACTCTCAGTCACTATTAACCTGGACAAAGTTCAAATTGGTAATCCAGAGATAAAACCTGTGACAGACCCAGACCAGGTACAGGAGTCTGGTAAAAGGCAAATATACTGGCCACTGGATGAATAGTTTTCTGTTCCCTGAGTAACCAGAGCAGGGGCTGCCCGAGAGCAATCAGGAACTTGCTAGAACCAATTAAGACAGGCAAGCTAATCAAGACACCTGGAGCCAATTAAGAACTTTCTAGAATCAATTATGGCAGGCAGGCTAATCAGGACACCTGATTTAAAAAGGACCTCCCATCAGTTAGTAGGAGGGCATGTAAGGAGCTGGGAATGAGAGGACGTGCTGCTGGAGGACTGAGGAGTACAAGCGTTATCAGACACCAGGAGGAAGGTCCTGTGGTGAGGATAAAGAAGGTGTTGGGAGGACGCCACAGGGGATGTAGCCCAGGGAGTTGTAGCTGTCACGCAGCTATTACAGGAGGCACTTTAGACCGCTGCAATCCACAGGGCCCTGAGCTGGAACCCGGAGCAGTGGTTGGGCCCGGGTTCCCCCCAAACCTCCCAACTCCTGATCAGACACAGGAGGAGTTGACCTGGACTGTGGGTTCCACCAGAGGGGAGGTCTCTGTTCCCCAACCTACACGGTGGATCAGCAGAGACTGTGGGGGTTGTTCTTCTCTTTTTCCCCATGAGGGCCAGTGATGAGGTTATCTGAGCGAACGGCAGATTTGAGCCACAAAAGTGCTTATAGCTTAGGTTGTTTAGGTCAAACTGATCGCTGCCGTAAATCTCTGAGGCAAGCAAATCCACCAATAAGCACAGGACCCACCAAGGTAGAGGAGGAACTTTGTCATAACTGTAACAACACACTAAGAATCCTGTAAATCAGAAACCTAAAGAAATAATATGTGAATTTCATAAATAACTACTGTGTACTGCATTTCTTATACAGCAATTTAGAAGAGGTCAGATTTATCTCCAAGGAAAAATAGCTTCTGGGCATGGTGGGACCTATATTACTTAAAACAATATGAACAGCAACTGACATCGAATATTAACACTTGGAAAAAATGTTAAGTTTTAGCTATATTAGGTATTTCTTAAGTTATATTTTTTCATTTTTAACTGGTATCTGCCGACCTAAGACAGGCTGACAATGGCCAGCAGGCTGAGAAATTCCAAAATGGTGCCCCTAATTAGACCCTTTTCCATAGTGATTCCACAAATACATTTCTCTTATATATGACCACTGGATTAAAAAAAAAGGGGGGGAGGGGCAAAAGCAAATAATCTTGAAAGGAGGAGCTACACAGGTTATTATTAAAAAATGTTTGCCAACTTGTATTACAATTTCATATTATCAGTACAATGGAAAACATGGGTTTCTCAAATTGCAATGGAGCAACTGATGAAAAATTGTAAACTGAAAATTGAAAAATTGTGACTTTTTAAAACCACCAAAGTAAAAAGGGACCTCGTGCAGCATCTTGAAGACAGTTATAGATGAACTCCAACAGACTTACTGAACCAAAAAGGACCTGTTCCTTGGTCATTTCCAGGACCAAACATCAGGTCAGAACGTAAGGAGAGCCTCCTCCACCTCAACAACACTGTCTTAATCTACATCTGATATATGTGAACGAGACACTGAAATTTAGTTGTTTGCTCACCAACAGCCAATGCAAACTGCAGAGAATCAACGCTAAAGACTCCCTTAAAGGCCACTCTTATACCAATGAGCAGATGGGCAACCCCATTCTGCAACGGCTGCAGCTTCCAAAGCAATTTCATATAAATCTCATTTGGAACAAATTACATCATTCTATCATGGAGACAGCAAAAGTAAATAACTGTGAAGGTCTGTAATGGGGAGAACTTTGGGTGTCTGAAATGCACTCATAACTCGAGTCCTGCACTGGATTCTACAGGATCTTGAAATTTTGCATAGCCATTTTAGATACTATTGCAACGTGGACTTTCAGGTCAAATAGCAATTACTTTAACTCTAAAATTCTGTAGTTGCCAGAGGCCAGCCACTGAAAAAAATAGCGCATTCACACATTCCTTAAAATTGCTTATCTCAATTGCTTATACCTGGTACACCATTTCAGTCTTATATGGGTTCAACTTAGTCAGTTGTCTTTCATCTAAAGAAAAATGCCTGCCAGTCAGAATGCAGTGTAGTTGTAGTTATGTCGGTCCCAGGACAGTAGAGAGACAAGGTGGTTGAGGTAATATCTTTTATTGGACCAATGTCCGGTTGGCGAGAGAGACAAGCTTTCGAGCCACACAGAAAACCTGAAGAAGAGCTCTGTGTGGCTCGAAAGCTTGTCTGTCTCACCAACAGAACTTGGTCCAATAAAAGATATTCCTTCACTTGCCTTGTCTCTGCCAGTCAGAATGACAGTGAGGGGTCAATACGAAAAAGGTCAACAACAAACAAGACAGCCTGCAACAAGAAGGCACCCATCATTACTTTTGATATGTCACATCCCAGAATGAGTGTAATCAGAGGTCAACAAACAATTCTGCCTATTAGTATCAGGAACCACAGCCTACCCTCTTACATCTAGTGATCATCTGAATCGGAGGTTGACAGATTTCAAAGGACAGATCCCTCATGTCTATCATAAGATCACTAACAATTCTGTTAACTAGAGCTGAATCCAGGACATCAAGCAGGCAGAATTTAGACAGAAGTGTCAGAAATATCAGATCATGATAATACTGGAGTTACCAAACCAACATGATCTCACTATCCTTCCCCAAATGGAGAGACCAATCAGTAGTTTGCAAATAAGTCAGTGTTAGAGGAAAGTATTTTAAGTAGGCTGCTTCTCTGAACATCTACTTGCAGCTGTGAAAGTGCCATCTTTTGATAGGCATTAACCACATCTGTCAGCAATAGGCTCAGCATTATTCCACTAGCATTAACAAAACAAAGAAAAACAAAAGAAAAGACAAAGATCCATGCTAGCTCCAGTCTATGAAGCACCAATTGAGCCTCAGAAACACACACATTCTGAAATTTTGCTAAGACAGACTGGGCTTTCATCCCTTCCTGCTCTATTACTGATATCAAAGTAGGAATGTCACAGGTCATGAGCATGCTAGATTCACCAAACAGCCTGTCAGTGACCAGGGCATGGGCGGTTGTACCGAGTGGTTAGAGCAGGAGCTGGTAGTCAGGAATTGGAGCCTGGTGTCAAAGACCGAAGCAGAGGCCAGATGCCAGAGAAGAGAATCAGGAATTGAAGCCAAGAATCAGGAGCAGGTTATCTGGAGTTAGGGAAGGCGGGCACAAGGCTGGGGCCATTGGCAGGCACTAACACAAGCCCATGGCAAATATTTTGAGCAACTGCTGAAGGGCTTCTGCTGCATAGCTTAAGAGCTGGTGTGCTTCCTCTTCTAACCATCAGTCAGTGTAGCCAATCAGGCAGCCTACTATCGGCCAGCTGTGCTCCTTAATTTGCCAGGAGACTGGCTCTTCTGCAGGCCCTGCTTCCTGACGCAGCCAGACCTAAAACAGTTCCACTAGATGATTCCAAGCCTTTGCTAGGAGGTAGTAAAAGATTCTTGGCTTCCACCAAGCTCACTTTTGGTGGATTCTAAGTAGAGAAAATGACCAACCTCCAAATTAGCCAGCCCCTTTCCCAACTTTGTCAGTTCCTGCAGTCCATCAATAATCCTAAGTGAGTCATACACGTAGTTTCTTTATTAGAGCTCCATTTAGTTGTTTCAATGAATGAGAGAAAGGGAAAGTAGTTTGCTGGCGGGCAAGTACCTACTGTAAGTAAAACACAGATCATTCAGATGCTCAAGGTTCAAAAGTCAAAGCAGCAACTTCTAGATTACCACCTTATGATCAAGTTTAAGATAACATTTAGGACATTTTATTTTTTGAAACCCTTAAGATTGTGATAAGACTTTAGTACTTTTCTTCCAGACAGCAAAATAATGAGTTTCTGTTCTTATGAATAAAGGAAAACAAATTAAAATAATAAAAAGCCTTACAGGTTTGTATCTTAGTGCATCTCTGTAGGATCCAAACAATGCTGCCTGTGTCCTAAGGAAGGCCCTAGCTACTCCATCACCTGTAGCTGTAGACTGCTTCTTCAGTTTATTTTTCAAGGCTGAGACCTGTATGACAGAGAGGAACAGTTAAATTAACACCTCAGAAATTGGTACAGCAAGGTATGAACCCAATCAGCAGGCAAACCACAGTGTCTACAGGTCAGCCAAAAATTCATCCTCCTCCTCGATAGCTTATCTTTTTAACTGCAAAGAGCACCTGCTGGTCTGTTAATTGAAACGAAAGCAGGGGATGATGGTAAAGTGCTTATGTAAATTGGTTTATGCTCTCTTTTTTTTTTCCCAAGGCCTCTTGACATAAATAAGCTTTAATTATTTTACAGTAAACTGCTTGTGAGCCACTTTTCTGCAGATTTTTTGCAATCATAACATGTGTCTGCTTGTCTGAGATGAAGCCAGTTGGGCATCTTTCATTTATGCTGTGGAGGGTTATTTTTTAAGGGCACTTCCAGCTCACTTACCTCTCAATTTTAGTTTTTTTGTTGCCAACTTATTAGCATGCATCATTTTTCATGCATCATGGGAGCTGTTGCCACTATTGTTTGCTAGTTGGGGAAAGCCTGTATAAATTCAATAGTGCAGTGTCTTTAGAATTGGCCTAAGGAATAAAACATCCGAATGGGGTGGAGGGGGTGAAAGGGATGGAGAAGGAAGGGGATAGCACCCTTTTATTAGTGATGAGGCACCTGCATTAAGAAAAACATTAATTCCAGCATCTGATTTCTGAAGATCTACCCTGTTTTATGTGGTAAACAAGTTCTGATTGTACAATTCTGGAAGGCATGAGTAACATTAGATTAAAAGGCCATTCTTTAGTTAAGGAAGCTTTGGAGCAAGATCATATATTTTGGAATTATTCTGATATTCCTAAAAACAAGAAAGATGTGTGAATGCAGTTAATAAGAGCAGTTCTTCCACCCTTGTTTTAAGATGCTGAATACCAGACAGTTGGAGAAAAAAATCAATTGCAATTATTATGAAGATGTATTTCCATATTAATTTTTATTGCAAAGTGCCTTGCAAAACAATACATAAGTTATCAGATTCTGTCCAAAGCATCATTTATTTTCAGTTGGGTTACTCTTTAACCAGAACATTTAGGCTACCCTTATAAGCACAAAGTATCACCAAAACAGGTTTCATTCTTTTATAAATGTATGCAAGAATGAATATCTTTTTGTTTCTTTATGCAAGCAGTCATGACTGTTCTTGTAGATGATGATTGTAATTGAAGTGTCAACCTAATTAACAACTAAACTTTGAATAATGCTAATGAGAACTGAACATGGCATCAGAGAAAAGACCAGCTCTACAGGTGATAAACCTTCACAGTAGTGACATTTTCCACTGTAAAGTCACAGTTACTATGATCTGATCAAAGAGAGAGACCCCCATTGGGTCCAATTATAACTACAGTTTTGAAAAAAAATTATTGAGTTCTGATGTTCATAATCTATGCAGAAAGGCCTTTACAGTATAGGTCTTCTCCCCATAGCTGTGATCTTTTCAATTTATATCCAAGCTCCATAGATCCAGATAAAAGTTTAGAGTCTGATTCAGTTAGCCCATGGAGAGCACACACCAATGCTCATTTAAGTATTTTTACTTACACCTCAAAAGAAAAAAAAAAAAAGGAGCGAGTACAAGAAACAGTTACACAGTTCAAGGCTGCAAAAATAAATGCTTGTCATTTCACTTTCTTTGTTCTGTAGTTTGATTATTTTGAAAGTTATTAAAATTGAAGCTTATTTAATTCAAGGGTAAAAACATGCATAAGTTCTTTTAAACGGAGAGATGTGTCAGCAATTACAGTTATATTTCACTAATGTTGAAATAAGAGAGCAAGGGTCAGTGTATAGAAACCTGGTTTGTCAAAAATGAAAACCAGATTTCCACTTTTTTAAATCCAGTAGAACATTTCCTAAATGCAAGAGACAGAAGTTTACCCCCTTTCCTCCTTAAAAAGAAAAATTTGCATTCATGTAAATTATATATTATAAATAGGGCTGTGAAAAAAATTGTGAAAAAATGTTCATGTGATTCCAAGCCATCTTTGGACAGCAAAATTGTGCATATTGCAATTTAATTTTTTTTTGTATAATGTCATGTCTTGTGTGTTTTCATATGAAAGCTGATCCTCATCAAATTGAAATTTCACTCTTTAAAACAGAGTATTTGGTCTAATTTTTAAAACAAATCTTAGGGGTTCATTTTTTGAGCAAAAGCAGTAACAGAAAATAAACACAATAAAAATCTGGCAGGTTTTCACAAAATGGAAACGTATTACAAAAAGCTCAGACATTTTAAAATGTAATTGAAAATATTTCTCACCTCCCAAATAATGAATTAGGAGACTTTTGTTTTCAACATAATTATGTCAACTGAATTAATTGGTTTATGGTAAAAATGGTTATTGAGACAGGACCTTTTTAAAGAATGCATTCTATTACATACTGGTGAGAAAGGTGTAATTTACCTTACTGCTTGAAATCAATAGAACTATGCATGGTTTTAAGCTATTTATGTGCTAAAATGTTTTACTGGATAAGTGCCAGAATGCTGAGCACCTTTCGGGCTCAAGCTGCCATATACAAGAACCAGGAGTGTTTAGTGCTGGCAGTGAACTTGACGATCAGAGGAAATAAGACCTCAGGCTTACTCCCTATACATCAGCCTGCAAAGAAAGGTCAACAATGGAGGACCTTATGCTGCACCCATCTGAAATGGTGTTACAGCTCCCTTTCTGTCACATATCCCTCTCATCTCTCTGAGGCATTCTGGGTGGTGAGCCAGAATCCCTTTGTGGACTGCCACTTAGGCAACTCCTTCCTCATCCCAATGTAAGATCCAGCTATCCAAACTAGAGGACAACCCTTAATGTTCTAATGTAGCTTCTGATGGACTGATACTTATTTTTTGCCCAGAGTCCTAAAGAAGTATTGCTGCAAGAAAAAATTGAGCCACATGGAACAATTAGCACCTGACACAAGTGTCTACCTCACTGATGAAAAAGGGATAAACCACACTCTGTTGATGCATCACCAGCTTCACCACAAGGTTAACCAAGTAATAAATTTATCTTAAATATGATTATTACTTCTGCAGTGCCACGGGTGTGCTCTACAGACATTTAAAAATAATAGACCACTCCCCTGAAGCGCTTACTATCTAAGGCCCCCATCTTGCAAACATAGTATAGTTACATGCATAAGCACTTGCATAATCAAGCTCCAAGTTTAAAGATCACTAATGATTAAATTAAGCAATGGAAATGTCAGAAGAAGGGAGGGCATGGATTATTAAAAGGGAGGGCATGTTGCTTTGGCATGACATACATGGATCTTGATGTCTCTATTTATTTTTTCATATGGATGGATGGGAGAGCTAGAGATTACCGATATATGTTGATGATTCACCCACCCAACTATCTTTGTAAGCAAGGACAAAACACATAGTCAGCAATGACAGACTGAAGAGCACAGGAAGGTACATTTTCTGTTGAGAGGAGAGACAACGCTGCAGTGAGTACAGGAGAAAGAGTTGGATGGGAGATAAGGGAGCTTGTGGGAAGAGATGATATATAAGGGTAGAGGTGAGGGAGGAGAAAGGATGTAAGGATTAAATAAAGCTTGGTGAGGGAGGGACCAGCCTATATGTTCAGTCAATCAGAGACATTAAAGATAAGCAATCAACATGGTCAAAGCCTTGTATGGTAAGAAGTAAGCTAGTAAGCTATACACGTGGGAGAACTTCACCATCTCGTGGATCTATCTGGTATAAATAAGAGCAGGGTGTGTCAGCATAAAGGCAAAGGTACTCCCCTATAAAATATGGTAAGAATTCTACTCACTCCAAGACAAACTGTGCTCTAGCCGTAAGAGTTGGGTTAACAGCTCCCATACAGACTGCTAATGAAGGCAAATCTATCCTCCAAAAGATTATTTTATAGTTCAAGGGAAGCTCCCACAAGTTCCCACCTTCCCCAAGAACACTGGGCTACAGGCAAGGGGTAGCTCCACCAGATCATAATGGACTTCCCACTCTTGGCAATTATGGTTTGCCAGTAGTTCAGGTCTTTCCCACAGACCATATGCAGTGGCAAGAGCTTCTTTAGCAGTGTCCCCACAAGAACTGTGTCATTGGTGTGGTATCGGCACAAGGTTCTCCAAAAAGAACCTAGCTAAAGAAAGCAGTGGTTAAAACAAAGGAGAAGCTTGAAAGTAAGCCAGACTGAACTAGGATAGATCAGTACTTGTGGAGTGATTCAAGTGGGGTGGAATCTTGGAGCATGTTAACAGGGAAAGGTGGAAAAATAATTTGCGAGAGGTGGTAAGCCAAAGAGGGGAAATGTGAATCACCTGGGGTGACATGATAGTGGCAATATTAGTAACACAAATGGATAAAACAAAGATTAACAAATTTCAAATGTATATTTATACAATATCAGTAACAAAATCAAACATGTTATAAGGTTGAAAGTGAATTGTTATGTAGCTTGTATGGCAGTTGGTGCTCAGGAAGCCACAAAAGCTAAAACTGGAATCAAGCAATTCACAGGAGGCAGGAATAACAGTCAAGTTTGCTTCCAGGAGACACTAGTGATCCATTAGGACAGTCAGAGATGGGGTTCTTAAACTGCACTGAAAGCAAAATGTTTATCTTTATCTTGCCCTGACTATTCTTGGATCCTCTTGGGAAGGTCACTTCACTGACTGTTAAACACTAGCAAGCAAGGGTAAAGCAGAGATGTGGAAAAGTTGGAACTAATAGGATATCATCAAGAGACTGTCAGGGTTTCTGGTTGGTTGGCTGGTGCTTTTTACCACATGCTGGGACATTCTGAAACGTAAAATCTAGACATATTAAAGAGGTAAGCAAAGAATGTGTCACAACTTTGGAAATAATCACTGTATTCCCCTGAAGATTTTAAACTTTCAAAAATGCAACTGACTCAGGATAAAATATCATCAGTTTAAATACATGTGACTTGTACCCTGATTGCTTGATATATGTCAATGAACCCTGTAAAGGTGACTGAAGCCAAAATT